ATATTTGATCCCCCGGGCGACGCAGCAGGCGCAGCCCGCAATTCGCACCGGCTAAGAGAGATCGCCGTGCAACGGATCGTAGAGGCCTCGGCCATCTCCCGTATTAGTCGAGCCTCAGAGGCCAACGCCACAGTCGCAGGGCAGACCCTGAACTACAAACCAGGCGAACACCAAGCTCCATCCACCAAATAGCTCCAGGGTCGACTTCTGCCGAGCTCCATCCACCAAATATGTGAGCGGGTGGAGTGGTCCAGCCGCAGTCGTCACGCCCAACGAGGCACCGTGACCAGAAATCACCGAGGCGCCGAACAGAGATGCTGCCTCGGAGATGCACGACGACTCTTGGACTTCGGCGCGCTGGTATGTGAAGTCACGAGCCAACCTTTTTCACCCCGCGGTCAGGCACGGACGAGGGTAGAGCAGCGCATCGCGAGCCCATCGGCGAAAACCCTCCAACGCGTTGGCCCTGCCGGCGCAGGCGCTGTCACCACCGTCGCCACCGCCAAGTGCTCTGTGGCCTTGAGACTCCAGTACTTAGCCAGAGACGTCTTCAACCTCAACAGTGTCGCGGCCGTCCGAGTCGGCCGCGGCCTAGAGCGCATCGTGACTGAAGGAAGTCTAGACAGATCACTCCTGGCATGGTGGCGACCAGGCCATCGAGAAGTGAATGATTGGTGGAGCTTCGGGACTGGCAGTCCAAGCCTTGTCGAACTTTTCTGTTTCGGCCACGGCAACATGTGGTATCTCTGTTTCACATTTGAAGATGTAGTCGGACGCTGCTTCAGATATCTCATGGAAGATGAGCTCCAAGCGGCAGGCGCCCGGGGAAGTGGCGCCGATCCTTCGGAAGCCGGCACGCGCCCCGATGATTCCACACATGACGACTTGGCTGTCCGCATCTGAAAAGGGGGGCCATCGAGACTTCTTGAACGACCCAAGGGCGCCGACGCAGATCTCATCGCCACTTATGCAGGCGCCTCATCACGGCTCTCCCAGCACGCGATAGTTTCTGAGGCTGCCTTCCGAGGGTGGACGATCGACGCGCGGGGCGTCAAGATGCCCTTCCTGAGAGGCGTCGGCTTCTAGGAGCAGGCAACAGGCAATGAGGAGCGCTTCGTCAACTTTGAGCTCTCCCTCGACGCCGTCGCAGCCCTGCGCAAAGTGAATGGGCGCGAAGATTTCGACAGAGCCCCTGAAGTTTTCCAGGCGGAGAAACCAGGCACCGGGCGCAATGGTGCCCCGATATGTTGGCCCATCCAATTCGCAGAGATCACCCATCAAAGGTACCAAGCCACCTCTACACTATACGACAACGAGTTCATCGTCAACCATGAGGATGGCGAGCTCGCCATGCTGGCCACCAGACACGTCGACGAAGTCAGAGTAGCAGCATCACCGCGGGAAACGGCCAAGCTACGTCAATCCCTGGAGGATGCCTCCGGTAAAGGTGACCTGGATGTCAGTGAAAGGGCCTTCACATGCTGTGGGCCACGTCACTCCCCCACGCACAGCGGCGGATATGAGCTGGACCAGGGGCCAGGTCGAGCACGCCCAGGCCTTGAAGCGCAGTGGAAACGCTGAGCTAGTCGACAATTCCAACTCCGGGCCGAGCTTGCCTCAGAGAGCCCGACCAAGTTGCGCCTCAGCCCACTCATGGCACTTAGCCTTCACGCCCATCACACGAATCGATATGCAGCGCGCGTCTACGTGGTCGCACTTCAGCGCCTCACAGCGGCGCCAACGCACGGCCATATACGGAAGCTCGACATGCTTGCGAGATGGGCGCAGTCCGAGCCTTTGCGGATCCATCATCCATTCATGCGCTGCGCACACATGCTCGAAAAAACACAGCGAAGCAGCATTCAGAAGATAACATAAGGGAGTCGCCGCCGCGGGGCGGGCCCGGCGAGGAGCCACCTTCCTGCGCATGGGCGTCAGCGGCGCAGATGTTCAACACACGCTCTTTGGCAAGCAAACGCGTCATCTACTAGACCGTCAGTGCGGGGCGCTCAAAACTGTTGCGCGAGGCACCTTTACAAGCGAGCTAATGGCCGCGATCAGTTCAACAGATGACGGCCTCGCTCTGGCCACCGCGCCCCACGAAGTGCTCGGGGGATTTCGGGGCCCTGTAGCTGTGCGCCACCAACGAGATGGCACGCAGCCGCTCGCGCTGCAAATTGAGCTCAGCCTCGGTTCAATGGGCGCGGTCAGCCGTCACGGCTACGAGACCTGAGCCCCCGGCAGAGCACCCAAAGCAACCGCTCGTGCTCAGACCCCGCGACCTCGTGGGCCCTGGCCAACTATCGGCCCTGAGCTGGGAAGACGCGCGAGATATGATCGCGGATGGATTGACCAAGGGCAGCATGGGCAGATCTGCCCTCCACGACGCGGCCAGCGGCTCTCGCCAGCGGCCGCGCGCGCCGCGCGCAGCCGCCCTCGCGTCGGCTGACGAGCTCACTGGGGCCATGAGCGCCGGCCAGCCCCCGACGACCGACAATTGCCAACGTGCGTCTATGATTTGCTCTGTGCTCCATTCTCTTCGAAATCATCAGTCGCTCCTCATCGCCGCCCCTTTCGGAAGTCTTGCGACGCGGCGCTCGGCGGTTGAGAGACGCGAAGCAGCGCGGCAGTTTCGGGGGGGGCATGCTGGCAGGAGCTCGTCGCTGCAAAGTTCAGCTCGCGGGCGCGCTCGTGCGCGGACGCGCGGGGCACGGGGTCAGCAAGGAGGACCAGGGATGGACGTTTACGATGTCGCTGCCTTTGTTCTCGGCAGCAGGCTTGCGCGCCGCCCGACCAGGCCGCGCTGGGCCGCCTGCCGTAGCTCGCGCGCCGCCGCGCCCGCGCGCGGGCCCCCGGCGCGCGTCGACGCGCGCTGGCTGCCACCCGCTGCCGCGCGAGCACGCGGCAGCATGCCTCTGAGCAGGCCGCCGGAGCCTCCAGAACCGCCGCCGCCTCGTCGCTCGCGGACCGCGCCCGCGGCGCCTCCCCCGCCCATGGAGGAAGCGGCGCCATCAGACGACGCGACGCACGCGCGTCCACCAGTCGAGCCGCACCAAGCGCTTGACCTCCAACGCCCCCGTCCAGGCACATGGTCGAGGCGCGGCGGCCCGCTGGCGCGGCTGGTCATGGCCCGTCTCCCCGGCGCGCTTGCGATGATGCCTCCACCGAGCAAGGAAGAAGCGCGTCAGTTACAGCGTCAAGTGCAGCAGCTCAATGAGGCAAGGCGCATCTGTCTCTCGAGAACACGCTCGGGCTCGAGCTTCCACGGCCCCGCTCGGGGCCGCCGTTTCCCCGCAGACGCCGCGCGGCTGCCGCGTCTCACGCTCGGTCGGCGCCCGCCAGCAAGGCATCCGCATCCGCGCCGAATCTTCCGAGCGATCCGCTGCCCCCCGACGCGCCGGCCCTAGCGCTCGCCGAAGGTCCCCAGCTCCCTCCGCTCAGCCAGAGCGGTGGAGATCACGCGGCAGTGGCACATCGCCGACCCAGTCCCCGAGGTGCTGCTCCGCCATAGCCTCTGCCCCACCAGCGTCGCGAAGCTGGCGTTTGCGCGCCGGGCCCGCGCTCGAGGCTCGCGCGGCCATGGGCTGGTTGAGCGACGCACAGCCGCAGTTCGCCAACATTTCGCTTATACACAGCCAAGCTGCACAACCCGTGGGCCTCGTGGACCGCCCGGGGGAGGGCCGGGCGCCGCCGCTACGGGTCGCTCACCAACGTCGGCTCGAGGCCAGGGTTTGGCCGAGGCCCTCTCCCGGCCCGCGACGAGTCGGCTCTCGGCGCGCCCTCCTCCAAGGGCAGCCCCCGCGGCTACGAACGGCCAGCGCCGCTGGCGCCGCGGCGATCGCGCCCCCCATCACCTCGGGGCGAGCGCGCGCCGTGCACTCCTTGTCGTCGTCACCTCTTCCCAGAGGTTCCGCCTTGGTCTCCTTCTCGCGAGGCCGAGTCCGACGGGGGCAGCGCTGCTCGCCTCTCGGGCTGGAGGCCGACACTGCCTCGCCCTCGGCACCGCGCCCTGGTCTGCCATCGTGCCCCCTGGCGCGTTCAGGGGACAGGAGCCGCGGCGCCCGTCGGTTCTCGAGGGCGCGCCGCCGCGGCGCCCGGCAATGGCAAGAGCAAGGGCAAGTGCAAGAGCGAGCCCAAGCCAGAGGCCGACGCCCATCTCCCCAAGAAGAAGACACGCAGGGCGGGGGGGGAGGTCGAGCGCCGGCGCGCCAGCGCGGCTATCCGCGCGGCCGGCGCCGGCGAGCCAGGCTGGGCCTCGCCCGCTGTCGGCGCCGAGGCCGAGGAGGCGGAGGCCCCAGCGAGGAGGCCGCCTTCGGTCGTGGACAGAGCGGCCCCCGCAAGTCGCGATTGCGGTGAGCCTTGAAGCGGCCGTGCCAAGAAGCGCGCGTGCCCCTCAAGGTCTATCTCCACCCATCACCTTCCCACCTACTAGGTCAAGGCGTCTGTGTCTCCACCTCGCCCTTCACGCGACCTCGGGGCCATCGCTTTGCCTGAGCCCCAGGACAGGCTTTCAAACATCACGTCTGCGGCCCGAGGTCACTAACATCATGCGCAGATGCGGCATGGGAGGACTCGCGCCATCACGACACACGCGCGCGAGCTTCTCGAGTGCCGCTCCGAAGAGCAGGAGCCAGCTGCTCGCTACAGTGGGCGAGCCCGCGGCCCGCCCTGTCGCGCGCCCCCGGGTCACGTAGCGACGAGGTATCCTTGCTGAGTCTAGAAGTGTTGGGGGATGGACAGTTATGGTTATCTTCTTCTGTTGTCTCTCTTCTCCGCCAGAGGTGTTCGATCGCCCACGCAATCCGGACTCAAATAGGATGGGCCGCCGCTATTTGGCCCAAGCGCAGGCGCATAGTTGTATATTGTACGGAAAGCATCAACATTGCAGTCAACATCATATTGCCGCCGTGCTTTCTCTCGTACAGCGTTCAAGCCCTGCATCGTCGTCCTCCTCCTCGCTGTCCTCGTCCTTCGCCAGTCCCCCCGCGCGGGGAGCCCAGGCGCCGTCGGGATGCAGGAGGTGCGGCAGGCCGAGGGCGCGCGCCCAGTCCTGGGGAGGCGCGCGAGGAGCGCGGGCCCCCCCGCCGCGGCGCCGGGCGGGGCGCCGAATCCTGTCTCGCCAAGGAGGATCGGGGCGTCGCAAAACAAAAAGACATTACAAATGTGCCCAAATATCCAACGTCTGAAAAAAGAGACCCCTGTTTTTCGCTGTTTCCGGCCCCGGTAGGCCCTGGCCGGGCCCCGGGACCGTCAAGAAACGACTCGGGATGAAAAGTCGGTCTTGGGGAATGCGTCGAGATTTCTGAGGGGCCCGTAGTATTGAACAAAACACGACATCGTATTGCTGGGTGGACTTAGGGCGTCCCGCGCGTTTTTTTTTTCGGAGAGCGCCAGTTGTGTGCCTCCTGCACCGAGCCTGGGTGGGCCAGGCCTGGGCCCCTGGCCGAGCCAGGCGGACGTGCGACTACGCGGATCTGGGGCCCAGGATGGGCTTGGTCAGGACTGGTGTTGATGTATGGTTCGGCGTCCCCTCGTCTTTCAGCCTCGACCTAGTCATCGTCGTCGTTGTTCTCGTCTGCGTCCTCGTCGTCCTCGTCGTCGTCGTCGTCGTCGTCGTCATCGTCGTCCTTCTCCTCCTCCTCCTCCTCCTCCTCCTCCTCCTCCTCCTCCTCCTCCTCCTCCTCCTCTGGCGCCACCCCCCAGCGCGCGCCGCGGCGCGTCAGGAGAGGGGCGGGCCGGGCGGGCCGAACGCCGACCCGAGAGATCCATGCGGCTTTGCGAAAGTCTGTGGTTTGTCTGGTGTTCCGCATGCCACATTCGGACCGAGGCACAGCTTCGGGGAGGGTGCCCAAGTGATTTTCGTGTTTGTTTGGCATTCTGGGGAGGGACACGTGGCGCAGTTCACTTCGCGCTCCCGAGCTGGGAGGGACCGGGGGGAATGGCCGGAGGAAAGAGGGAAAGGGGAGCACGAGAAGGGGACATCAACGGCAACCGCGGCCCAGCGGCTATCCTCGCGCAGACGACAAAGCGCACCCTGTGGAGGATGAGCGAGGGCCGGAGGGTGGCCGCCCGGGACTGCTGGCCCGTGGAGTTGGCCCGCGAGAGGTGCGCGCCTTGCCGCCGGCTGGACGCCGCGACGTGCGCCGTGGAGGTCTGGGAGCTGCAGCGGCGCGCCACGCTCTTCCACACGGAGTGGCTCCCGCCGTTCCTCCCCCACGACATGGAGACTCGGTATGGCCGAAGCGGGTACGGATCGAGGAAGAGGCACCGGCATGAATACGGAGCTCACCGAGCTCTTTCCACTATTCGCAAGGTGTCGACTCGTAAACAGCCAAAGAACACACGCTCGTCTCGATGTAATGGATCGTAAATCCCCCGCTGCGGATCCAGGCCGTTTGCGAGTAGTTACTCTGCGAGTAGTGGAACGCGCTTGTCCAGCAACCCGCAGTTGCCGATAAGAGTGAGGGGCCGGGCGCGGGGTGGGTCGCGGATCGATCGCAGGTGGGTCGCGGGGGGGGTCGCGGGGGAGTCGCCGGCAAGGACGACGACAACAATAATGAGATTGTTCGCCGCCACATGCTCGCGTATCATGTAACATGTATGTCTGAAACCCTCGATGTCCGCCCTCTTCGTCTTCGATCTTACCCCCCTTGGGGGTACATCTTCCTTACCTGCCACGTGTAGCCGGCGCAGCCCCTAAAAACGGGTGAAGGGAGGGAGGGGGCAAGAGACAAGGGGGAGGGAAAAGCATGGAACTCGAGAGACTTTTGCAGGAGGGGGTGAGGAGCAGGAGAACAAGCGGCAGAACCAGACGGCCGGGTCGGGCGGGCGGACCATAATGGGCGGGGTTGGGCGGGCGGGCCAGGACGGCCGGGTCGAGATGGTTGGTTGTTGAGGCGTCAATCCAACGTGATTCGCAAGGAAAATTCAAACGAAAGCGCGATTCCGAAGTAAATCGTGAGGAGGTCCAAAGCGAGAGCGTAATTCTTGAGTGTCGAGGCGCGGCGTACGAATGAATTGCGAGGAAGTCCCACTCGAGAGCGCGATTCCTGGATAACGTGTGAGGAAGTCCCGCGCGAGAGCTCGATGTTGAATTGATTGCGGGAAGTATCAGCCGTGAGCCTCTGCTGTTGTTAATCGGGGGCCAGTAAGCGAATCGGAGGCACAATGTTTTTTTGTAAATCAAAGGGTGCGAGCCCCAGGAGGAACATTGTAGCGAAAGCACAATGAGCACCGGAAGGGGGGATCAACAACAGTTATTTGTTAGACATGTCTTGAGAGGTACCCAACCCCTTCTCCACGCGAGCCGAATATGTGTATGGGCGCTTCATACAAAGGAACACATGGCCAGATATGCACGATCTCCGCTGCCCACATCTCCACCGTGCCTCCCAGGAGCCCGCGGAAGTGGTGTCAATTGCGCAATTCGTAGCCACCCAGAGAGACGCGAGGTCTCGGCTGAATCCGCGTGGCCCTCGATTCCGCTGGACAGTACAGGACCTCCGAGGAGCCCACGAATGTGGTGACAGTTGCGCAACCTACAGCCACCCAGGGAGCCGCGAGGTCCGTCTGGGTCCGCGTACTCCGCCACTCCGCAGTGCCTCAAAGGAGCCCACGAAAGCGGCGACAGTTGCACGACCCAGGGAGCAGCGAGGTTCCGCCTGGGTGCGCGTGGCCCCGGACTCCGCCAGACCTCCCGGGAGCCCACGAGAGAGAATGATGACCGTTGCGCAGTTCGCAGCCACCCAGGGAGCAGCGAGGTCTCTGCGCGTGGCCCCCAGCTCCGCTGGAACTTCCAGGAGCCCGTGAAAGTGGCGACCGTTGCGCAGACGCACGGAGCAGCAACGTCTCGGCTGGGTGCGCGTGGGCCAACGGAAGGGGTGATGGTTGCGCAGTTCACAGCCACCCAGGGAGCTGCGAGATCCCGTCTGGGCCCGCCCGTCTGGGTCCGCGTACTCCGCTACTCTGCCGTGCCTCCCAGAAGCCCCCGAAAGTGGCGACAGCTGCGCAGTTGGCAGCCACCCAGGGAGCAGCGCAGGAGGAGGCATGAGGATGGGGGAGGAGGAGGGAAGGTGGGGTCAACAATGTCCGATTCAAAACGAGAACCCAGCCCGGGAGGATTGGGAATGAGAATTCAATCATGTTGCCCTCCTGCCACACGCATCCATCATGATGTCAACCCTTCTTGGGAGAACTACATGAGAAGGGGGCGATATTCCTACACCCAGATCTTCTCCCAAGGAGGTCGAGCCAACACCTTTCCCGAGCTGGTTGCCAACTTTCAGCTCGCACGATACATAAACAACAGTGCGACGTTGGGGAGCGGTGAGGATTCGAAATGCGTAGGGATCCAGCCCCAGGACACTAAGGATTCGAGCCCCAGTCGACAGGCAATATATAGGAACAGATGTAAGGCACAGGATTCGAGCCCCAGTCGACAGGCAATAAATATAGGAACATACGTAAAACAAAGGATTCGAGCACGAGGGGAGGGGCGGCGAAGCCTATGGAGGCGAAGCCTACAGGGGGCCGAAAAGCACTCCCCGAATACACATCCCAAGACAGAAGAGTGCCTCATGGGGCCTCCTGGGGGTTGGGGGGGAGCCGAGAAGCGCCCCCCGAACACATACCCCAAGACAGAAGAGTGCCTCCTGGGGTCTCCTGGGGGCGGGAGGGGGGGCCGAAAAGCGCTCCCCGAACACATCCCTGGCGCGTCCTGGGGCCTCCTGGGGCCTCCGCAAGTAGCGGCAAGACTGCTCTGACGAATTCCCTTGCGCTGCTGAATTGCAAGGACGTCTCAAGCGAAACGGCCGTTGCGGCATCCGCGAGTAGCAGCAATAATGTTTTGAAGGACTCCCTTGTGGTGATGACGTGCGAAGAAGTCTGAGGCGAAAACGGCATCCGCGAGTAGCAGCAACTTGGTTCTGAAAGACCCCCCTTTTATGGTGTTGAATTGCAAGGAAGTCTCAGCCGAAACGGCCGTTCCGCAGTGCAGGTCTTGCTCGATCCCCCGAAACGCTTGAGCGTGAGCCTCAATGTCGAAGGATCTGCAACCGGCGCCGAGGCGAGAGCGCCAAAGAGGATTTAGGAGTTCCAACAATGATAATATCAATGGTAATTGATTAGTCATCAATATCGAAGACGCCTACGGCGAATCACTGCCGCCCCCTGCCTTTTGCGAAGCGCCACTGTGGCGAAACGTTGTGCCCCAGCTTGGACAAGCTATCGGACTATGTGTATCCCCATCCGCTCTGGAAACTCTTGGGGCAGCACTTGGGAGAGGATGAGAGGGAGGATCAGGGGAGGGAGGAAGAGGAGGAGGAAGAGGAGAGGCATCTAGGAAGCCTCTCGGAGCACTTCTGGGGCCTCCTGGGAGCTTCCTGGGAGTCTCTTGGAGGCGTCTTGGGGGTGTCCTTGGGCCTCTCGGAGGCCTGTCGAGCCTTCTTGGGAGCCTCTTTGGTCGCCTTGTGGCGTTCCTAGCCCGTCTGACGCCGTCGGGAGTCGTCATGGGAGCCTCTTCTGAACCGGCTTGGGGCCCTCTTGAGGTGCTTCATGGCCGTCTTGGAGGCCATCTTGGGTGTCTTGGAAGCCTCCTGGGACGTCTTGGGGCCCTCTTGGGGCCGTCTCAGTGACCTCTTGGGCCGTTATGGGGCCATCTTGGAGGCTTCTTCGGCGATCTTGGGGCTCTCCTGGGCCGTCTTGGGCCGTCGGAAGGCCGAGCAAAAAACAACTGTCAACATCCTTCAGGCCTCTTGGGGCGATCTTAGGGGCCTCTAGGGCCGTCTGTGGGCGTCGGGAAGCCGACAGGGCGAGAAAGCCAAAATTCTTCTTCAAACACCTATGGGGAATTAATGATTTTGGCCTCTTGGGGCCCTCTTGGCAGGCCACTTGGAGGCCTCTTGGGGCGTCTTGGAGGCCTCTTGGGCCGTCTCGGGGGCATCTTGAGCGACTTGGAGCAATCGTTCGGCGACTCGGATCCTTCTTGGACCATCGTCGGGGCCTCTTGGGGGCCTCTTAGCCCGTCTTGGAGCCCTCTTGGGCTTGAAAAATCCGCGAGCCACCACGCTCCAGAGCCCAGGGAAACCGCGCGGAGCCCCAGGAAATTTAGCAAGTTCGGCCCCGGGCCCTCTAAACAATTTTCGGGGCTGAGCACTGAGGCTCAGGGTATTGGGCAGAGGATCTGAGGACACGCCCACTCTATATTGGGATGTCTGGGCACCGTCTTGATGGCATTCGGGAACGTCATGCTAGGGCGGCTGGCGATGAGCAAAACATATCGAGATTCTGAAATCATTGTTGAACGCTTTGTTGTCTTCTTAGAGCAGTTTCCTCCAGTTGTTCATTGGAAGCGCTCTGGGAACGGTTGGGGATTGATTGTTTCAGGCAGTGTTTGGGGACATTGCAGTTTTTCTGCTCAGGAGAAGGAGTGTCGCCTTTGGGCAGCCTCCGCGAGGTGGATTCGCAGCCTGGGGGTGCGCATCCAGCATAATTTACGAGGGATCGTGGCGTCGAGGGCGCGAATGTGGCGTAATTTACATGGGATGGTGGCCTGGGGGGCGCGAATTTGGTGTAATTCGCTAGGGATCGCGTGGCCTCGGGGGCGCGACTGCGGCGTAATTTACAAGGACTCGTGGCCTCGGGGGCGCTCGTGTGGTGTAATTTTCGAAAGGGGTCGTGGCCTCGGGGGCGCAAATTGGGTGTAATTTATAAGGGATCGTGGCCTCGGGCGCGCGAGCGTGGTGTAATTTACAAGGGATCGTGGCCTGGGGGGCGCGAGTGTGGAGCCCACCGCCGAATTTTCAAGAAACGGCGGGGGGGGCAAAACCATACCAGCGGAGCACATATCCCAACACAGAAAATTGTCGTTTTTCTGCTTTGGAGAGGGGGGCGCCTTTTCGGCAGCCTCCACGCGGCGGATTCGTGGCCTCGGGGGCGCGCTCGCTGTGCAATTTACAAGCGTTCGTCGCTTCGGGAACGCGAATTTTGTGTAATTTGCCACGGATTCTGGCGTCGGTGGCGCGAATGTGGCGTAATTTACCAGGGATCGTGGCCCCGGGGGCGCGACTGTGGCGTAAGTTACAAGGGATTCTGGCTTCGGGGGCGCGAACTTTGCGTAATCTGCAAGGGGTAATAGCTTCGGGGGCACGAAACTCCAGTATTTGTACGTGTCCCACGCCCCCCCAGGAATTCTGAGAAGCCAGAGGGCCGGCGCTTATAGTGCTA